GTAGGGCCTATATTTTCAAATTGAGACCCCAAATTTCACAATAATCCGATTTCATAATCAGCCGCGACAATATATATCTATTGATTTCAAGAAAACGAATTTAAGTTTTTATTTAAAAAAAAATATCTTTATTTACGATCAGCTCATTGTTTTGTACATTATTAATAACTATTGTGTTCATATGAGTTCCTTACTAGAAATTAATTCACAGTCTACTGGTTATTCTGACATGCAGTTTATTGAAAGCCTATTTTTAGTAGGCATTCGCACTAAATTAACAAAATCAATATTTGGTTACTCATATACAAATATATATGTCGTATCTGGAGTAGCTACCTATCTGAAGTTGCTCTGGTTTATTCTTGATGAACCAATTAAGTTACATCATAATAATTATTAGTTAATCAAATTAATAACAATTTATAGTGCATGCCATTAATTATAATAATATATAAACATGTAAAGATGCGATCTATGTTTTTTTAAACTTTAGAAAAAAATTTTTTTAACCAAAGTGATTATGGCATGCCGTCTAGGTTGTTACATAAGACCTGTGCAATAACAAATATTAATTTATCGATATACAGTAGCATTGTTAAATTCCCTTTTTAGATTCGGTACATAACGCTAAATGTTGATTTGGGAATTGGCGTTTGAAAAATTTCCATATGAAGGGTATACCGGTAAATCAAATAATGGAACACGTTATAACGATAAACGATAACAAATTTACTAAATTAATTGATTTCGTAGTTACGTATACTTTTTCTTAAATATTGAATAAATTTAATCAGCACTGAATTAGATTTTTTTCAAATATTATACATTCTTAATTAAATAATAAGTGTTTTTAGAAAATGCTTATTTTCAAGGAACCAAGTTCAACAAGTTTAGAACTCTTAATTTCATACAAAAAACTTAATATGTTAATTTTAGAAATCTTAATTTTGGCGATTTTATTATATATACTAAAATTTTATTTCAACTATTTCACTCGTTCAATTCCATATCCGGGTCCACTCCCATTACCTATAATAGGTAACTTGCATCAATACTTTTATCATAGGAATAACATTTCATCTTGGCATCACCAAATGAGCTTAAAATATGGTGGTATATTTGAGTTATATTTTGGGACCAGCAAATATTTGATGGTCTGTGATTCACGAATAGTTGAGCGAATAATGAATACATCAAAAGATAATAATTATTTTATACGTATTGCAACTAGTAAAGGATTAGATACTTTACAGAAAGGAAATAATGGATTATTATTTAATGCGAATTTTAAGTCTTGGACATCTATTAAAAAAGTTTTTATTAGGACCTTAGCTTCACCTAATGCTTTAAAAACGGCAATGAAACTTGTTAATAGCATTTTTCAAGATTTAGAAACGCTATGGGATAATCTGATTGAAGAACAAGGTCAATTTTTAAACGGCGAGCAAGACAGATCTGTAGATATTGATATTATACCGTGGTCAAAAAAACTTTTCGCTGAAAATATAATGTTACTGGTAGCAAGCAGAAAATTTAATCTATTATCAACATATTATAATAG